AACGTTTTGAACTTGTGACATGTGTTTGTTAATTTCCTTTTGGAAGGGGATTAGCTAGCGTTGTATTGTTTACATATGGCGCAAAGATGGCCGACATAAAAGGAGGCTATAGATATGCTTAAAAAAGCTTTAACCACAAAACTGCAATTAGAAACTGTCATGAAAGACAAATAATTCATCAAGCAAATGTTTGTTGACATCACAATGAAGAGTCCCCTGACAGGTGTTTGAATCAAGAAGAAACATGTCGGGCCATCTTGAGAGGTTTTTCAAAGTGCTTAAACCTTAAAAGGTTTCACTCAATCAACTTCTGTCTACTTCTGTGACAGTTAGTGGCACCTTGCATCATAAACGTCTTCTTGAGAGGATTTGGACAGAGATCCAATCACTGATCTAGGGTTTATTTTTCATATCAGTTATATATTAGTTTTAAATTTTACTATCTTCCTTAATTGTAATTAGTTTTCGACCTTTTTACATAGCATTAGCTTTGTTGTCTTTACAACTGCCGCTCGAAGCTTGCGAAGATGCCAGCAATACAAAAATGGATTGATGGACGAGTTCAGAAACGCTGCAGTATCAGCTAAGACCAATGCATATATCCATTGATTGGGGAAAATAGCTGAAAGAAACATGGATATAAACCATGGTATATAACACAGAACCATCACGATGTAAAATATAAAAGTGTTTTTGGCACATTTCATCGATCGTAACATGTTTTGGTTAAAATTTGCAGGCTTGCGACTCACAGTCTGTTGTTGGACATGAGTCTGTAGGTGATGCTTTCTAACAATGCAATAGATGCTGATGTAGCAGACAGCAGAAACTAAGAGGCAAGCGATGATACCCACAGCTGCGATAAAATAATAAGCATCCATTTTCCAAAACGAAATTAATGATAGCAAAAAGCTGATGAGCCAAAGAAGCACAGATGCATATATGGCACGACGTGCAGTCATCAAATTCGTATATCGCATGTGATAATGAAGAGCCAAGAATCGATCCACGCTTATTAGTGTCATTATAAGAACCGACCCACCACTTGCGAAGGGCACCATTACATACAGCGCTTTCAGCAGAGAACCATTTTCCTTGAGTTTAGTAGGAATGTAAACTGGTTGCACGACAAGTCCAACAAGAAGGTCTGACACAGCCAAAGAGCAAAGCAAGATAGTGGACGGTGAACGAAGCGAGCATGTATGAGCATCAGTGGAGCATTGAGGATGCAGTTTATAATGATAATAGTTTCATGTGAAGAATTGTTGATGGGTCTGCCTGAATAATACGATTCGGAATAGTTTGCCATCTTTGAAAACTCTCTCTAACGTTTGAATTTCGATTACACCTTTTTGAGTTGCACAAAAGGCATCCGAAAGGCAAAATACATTACCCATACCATTAGCAAGACATGTTACACTGCAGATTTTAACTGATGACGTTGAACTAGTCAATACTCTATAGCGTGTCTTTTACTACGTAATTAGTAAGTGCCTCTTTGAACTTCAACTATCAATTATCACGCACTGCACTTAACAGCAGGTGAAAAGGATGTCTTAAGCCAGATGTAGGTTAGTTGAAACAGCAGCATGCAACATGGTGACAGATCTAGTTAGAGCAAGTTAACTATTATTAACTTACAACAGCCATCATACCGGTTTTTAAGTGACAAGCAAACTGTTAAAAGCTTTTAGCCACGTTGGGCGATGTTCTTTCTGTCACTGATATTTCTTAGCTAATAACGCACTAATTGTGCTGTGAACTGAACACGTACGCTTTTGGACACATTCGACGTGAAAATTATTCCCTCAGTTTTTATCTCCGTGACCCCGCTTTTTTCTTTTTTTTTTTTTTTTTTTTTGCCCGGGAAGAAAAAGAATACCTGTATTAAACATAATTTCACTTTGCGATGAGAAAAAAAAAAAAATTTAAACTCCAGATCTCTAAGTTGACATCAGGTTTCCTCAGATTGGGTAAAGAACATTTGCCTCGATGTTTTTACAACTGCTGTTCGAAGATCGCCAAGACGCCAGCAGTACAAAACTGGATTAATGGACGAGTTCGAGAAAA